TGAGCAATAACCACATGTATAAAACCTAGACAGGGCTCTCATAACAGCCAGGGGCCAGGGATTTCTCCCGGCTGTTATGAATATGGCTCCCGGCTAGTTGCACAGGAAGATAAAAGAAAAATAGAACCAAAAGAAATCCCTAGCTGTTTGATTCTCCGCCTACTTGTTGTATTTACCCGGCAACTTGAAATCGGCACGGTTAAAACGTCGAACTTTACATATGCCGAACCTAATACCTGTTTAGGTCGAACCAAACTATTAAGTTCGACTGTTGATTCAGACGGTCGAACTTTACATGTGCAGAACCTAATTCGAGGCGAAAAGAAATATCATCCTTACTGCTTAAAATAGGGAAATAAACTGAAAAAAGTATAATTCACCAAGCCTGGAAATTCTTGTTTTTATTCAGGTAGGTAGGTAGGTAGATCCCTTATTTAACACTCTCGGTGAAATCTCTAGTAATTTCTTGCAAAAACGAATGATTTTGGTCATATTTTTTACAAAAAAAAAGAAAAGAAATTTTGTAAAAAAATTACCTATATTCACTGTATACAGCCGGTCAGTTATAACTATATCATTAAATAACAAGAGAATCAACAGTTGTTTGTCCTTATTTCATTGTTCAATTAATTTGAAGATATTCCAACTTCTCTGTTAAATATATTTCATAACTGTAGTGTGAAAGATTCTCAAGCCGGGATAGCTGTTTCGGATGATGTGTTGATGCGAAATGGTAAATTCTCGGATACTATACGTTCCTTTTAACCAACTTCGTCGCAAGGAACATGGAAATTTCCATGTTCCTTGCGACAATTTCTTTTAACAAGCTTAGGCGAAGGAACATGGGAATTTTCGTGTTCCTTTTAACAAGCTTTGTCGCAAGGAACATGGAAATTCCCATGTTCCTTTCGACAAAGCTGGTTGAAAAGAACATGCAAACTTTTAACCAGATTTGCCTGAAAATTTCCACTTTCTACTTGTTATAGGAAAGATGTACGCAAGATATTGATATTTTTGACAGATTGTTTAATTTTTTGCAAAGAGGAGTCCTTTAAACACGGACCCTGCGTACAAAAGAACCTTTGCCCTGGGCGAGCCGCCACTCATTTGAATCGAGGCACCGAACTGTCAACATCAAATAACCCGAGACCACAGCTTTTCAAGTAGCAAGACACACTGTTGGCCGTAGCCCTGCTCAGGCTGGAAATAAAGATTAACTAAATCATTTAATTTCCCTCATTCAAGTCTGTAAATAACAAAGATGATCGGCTCTAGTCAGCGTGAGCGGTCAAACCAAAGGTTTGGGGCGAGAAGGTGAAAACGGAGAGTGAGACTGGGCCTAAGGGTGTGTGAGGCTCGCGCTGTTGTCGCGAAAATCTCACTCCGGCCCTTCGCGTCTTTGCAAAACAGATTATGAAAAAAAAAAAAAAAAAAAAAAGAACGACTGTTTTCCAGTCTACATACGTAGTAGTGCTTCAGAAAGTAGAAAAAAAGACGTAATTTACACTGAAACCGTGTATAACAACAAGAGCTTTGATAACAACTAATTCTGAATGTAAATGTACAAGATTAATTGGTTATTTCCGAGTTGCTTCTAGCCTCTGTTTCAAAGCGAAATGACTTGGATGAAAATGATTTGTTATTCTCATGCAAGCTAAACTCGTGATCGAAAAAAGGAGCCTCGCTTGCTTGAAAAGTGAAAGCTTTTGTAACTCGGAAATTGCCTGTTTATGAAGCATACTTTATACTGATTAAAAATGCCAAGAAAAGATTAGCTGAACATTTGATTTAATGTTTAAAACACTTGCTGTAAGTGATTTAAACACCTTCAAAAACGTCCCCGGACTACTTCATCTCAATAGAATGGCTAAATAATACATAAAAAGATGGCAAACAAAAGCAGTCAAAAGTAAGCCGACACGACAAGCTCTGTCCGGCAAAGTATTAACACCTAATGTATCCAATACGTGACTCTCTACTTTAGAGATCGGCGTGACGCAGCTTCGCTCTGTCATTGAAATCGCGTCGAAATCACCGTTCATTTGTGAGAACAGAATTCCTATCCGGTATGATTTTCGTAGCGGCACAAAAGCTATGCAGTATATATAGTTTGACCATAGCTAGCCTAATATGTACAACCTCTCCATCATCGCTAAAACTTCATTTGCCAATACCGCAGCAATTATGTAACTCAAAGAGGCAACACTTGTGGCCAGTTACAACAACCACAAAAAAAAAGGAGAAAATGTGTTAAGTAATTGAAGTTAATAATTAAACTTAACAAAACTTATTTTGTCCCTTCTTCCTTATTTGAAGGGTCATTTCTCCCACGAGCTCCCTCTTGTTTTTGACTAGTCATCATTATGAACTTACAATTAAGTGTTACCAAGAGAGAATAAAAGGGCAAAGAGCGCCCAGTCACGCCCTTGACTGGTACGAAGTCCTATTATGGCTTTTGTTGGGACACGTGAATTGTACCAAAGTTATTTTTAGTCCAATTACACGCTTAATTTTGGTGTCCGTAGAGCTCCGCAAACTTTTATTCAGTGCTTGTGTTTCAAGAGGAAATTCAACAGTCGCAATAACAATCTTCTGCATTTGCAATTGTTTGCTTTGAGGCAGTCGCGCGGGGGACCATGTTGATGGTGTTTCACTGAATCGATGAAAATGTGCGGACGTCCCAGGAATTCCCTTTTGGTGTTAACGGGCATGTAGAGGAATAGCAACATTTTGTCTTTGTCGACGTTTAAAGAATATCAGGAGAGCTCTTCTGAACTCTGGCATTCTGATTGTGTAAATAATGGGATTAACAAGCGAGTTTGTGTGGTATAGAAGCGTAAATATGTCCGGATAGAAAACCTATCTAGAACAAAAAAAGAAACAAAAGTATATACAACATATGGTAACCACAGCAGCAAAGATACAATGGTCATTATGAATAATGTGACAGTCAGTTTTCTTTGTCTATTGGCAGCACCATCGGACGGAGGACGGGTTCCACACCAAAATTTTAAAGCAATGGAGGTGTAGGAAACACAGATAACAACAAGGCAAAGGCAACAATATGACCGCAATAAGTACACAAAATATAACAATTGCCACTGTTGTTGCACGTTCAAATAGAGACGTATCAACGGAAGGGGAATTACTATCATCGCAGTTAAAATCCAGACGCCAGCAATTGCTACCCCGTAGACCCATTTTTTGATGTTGCGGTGTCTGAATGGGCGGAACGTCGCATGCATCCGATCTAAAGAAATTACTGCAATGCCTGTTAAAGAGGTAAGAGAAAGCCACACCTCGGTCATGGCAAGCACAAGCAAAACAGGTGGCTATTTTTATTCCCGCTCAACAATAAAGATGAAAAATAAATTTCCAACTTCGCAACGGTAGAGGAGGAAATGAAATACTACAAAGAAAGTAGCACTTCCTCCAACAAACATATCAGCCACGGTCAAGTTTACAACCAAGTACATGGCTCGAGTGCGAAGATTACTGTTCTTTGCAAAAAAAATAAGGAGGAGGTTCACTACGACCACAGCAACATATATAGTAAGAGATACCGCATACCATGTGCTGCACTCGGCTGAAGAGAACATCCTGGAGATCATCAGAAAAAAAATCGAATAAAGTTTAGTTAGTTGAAAAATGGAAGTTAATTAAAAGGTGGGCTGAGAGGGTTGACTTCGACTCCTTAAATATCGAGAATGGAGATTGTACATTGACACAAATTCGTCGATAGAGTGCTCACCTTTACTTTAATTTCTTGATACTTTTGTTAACGCTGAAATAAACCCCTTGCCTTCACCTGTGGAAAAAAAAATCAAAAACTGCGGTTGAGGGGAGAGTACGTTGAGTTGCTTGACTGAAAACTGAGTTCAAAAATAATATGTGAATCTTAGCTGTTAATGTTGGCGCTCATTGAACTGCGAGTCAGTAAGAAGTAATTGTTCACCTGGTAGAATTTTTTTTATCACTGGGAAGGGGGAGTACTCAAGAAAGGTTTATAAGGAACGTAGGTCCAAGGCCTTTTCCCTTTTGTATACCATTTATGACAGAAAAGGTACCGCTATCACATACCTAGTTTGGACACCTGTATACACTTTGATCAATGTCTGACTATGAATAAATCACAAAACTGGTACATTTTTTTTTTTACTTTTTCACAGCCATAAAATGCATTGGTTAGCCCTTCGGGCCTTTTTACAGACCGAAGTGATAAGTTTTCGTACCCTTTTATATACTTCAGCCAGTAAATCCCCACTCTTTTATATACCTGAAGCCTAAATAAGGTTTTCCTTTTGGGGGGAGCCTCCCCGTATGGGCCATTGTAGGGATCCCCCCCCGGGTGCGTTTTAAGAATATGTCCACCATTAACCTCGAATGGAAAAATGTTGCATTGCAGACTAATTATGCCAATGAAAGCCAACCAACTTCCAAGTTATCGTAGCTCGAAAAATATTGTTCAATAAATATATAAGCCAATGAAGGATTAAACTTTTACTATCTTAGCCTCTTTTGTATACAAACTAAGATAAATAACTTCTCTGCTACAACCTTTATGTCCATTACCAGGATTTGAGATTACTAACCGAACGGTAGGCCTGTTTTTTCAGACCTACCAAAAATGTATACAAGATACTTTTTTAATATTATTAAATTTCGCCCACACTTTCACAAAAAATGATTGCTGAGTTAAAATTGTTGTCAATATATACTTCCTCTTTAATGACTCCAGTAGAACGAACAAAATCGTTTATTGCAGTTTCTCAGCCTGTGAGGGGAACTAGGTAAGGGAGTACGCGCTTTCCCCTTCATCGCTGGTATCGCCATTATTTACGCTCTTACTTTCTCACGCGACTGCTACCCATTCATGCTAACAGCTGCTTTCTGTTCACTTCCTGTAATCATTTAAGGGCTTTTAACCACAGTTATTATTTATGTAGGGTAGGGCCTTTGAAGAAAACAAAACATCTGTTTTCAAAACATGTTGTAGCATCCTTTGTTGTTTTGACCCATTGCAAATGCTTGGGTTAATTGTTACTTGGTGTTTTCTTACCTGGGCCTGGCCTCCTGTCCTTTGCTATTTCTGTTAATGAACTTTGAAAGGTTCAACGATCCAGGTTATAGTTCAGAACCTAAAAAAGGAAGATAATTTAAAATTTCTAGTTACAAAAGAAACAAAACTCAAAGGAGGATCTAGAGGGAGAGGGCAGGGGTTGCACATCCTCTCCTAAGGTGACCTGCGGCTTTATAATACAACTGCATGATTTTCTGGAAAAAAAAAAAAAAAAAAAAAACTTTGTCGTTTATTGGTGTTGAAGTAAAAAATGAGACGAGGTTGGAGAATTTCTGTTAAACGCCGCAAAAATGGGAGTTAAAAAGGTGATTCTTTAGTGGTGCACTCCCCTAAGAAAAATCCTGGATCCACCCCTGAAACTGTAGCATTGAAAAATGTTCTTTCTACAAGGTATGGCGAATCTAAGCTTCGGGCTTAAAAGAAAGACAAAATTTAGCAATGTTTAACTGTGCGGTGGTGAGGGGACTTTGCAGTTCACTGGGAAATGTTAAATGGTTTTAAAGGCTTATTATTGTTTTTTCACATAATGAATTCTAACATAGCGCTTACCTTTCCAGCAAATACTGTAGTGAGCTGATTGGCTGTCTTGAAGGAAGAGAGATAGAAAATGTTTGCTCAAGTTAGCAACGCATTCATACCCCGGACTGACGTCAAGGGCTTCTATGTTGGACGTGAAGATAAACACATTCCAACACCGTCCCTGAAATGATCGCTGTTTTAAATCATAAGGATAACCGTAAAATGAGAACTGTTCAAATAAAGTTTCTCTCAGTCCCACTTAATGGTTTCCTTTCCTTAATTTCCAAGCCTTTTAAAAGCAAGTGTGAACGTGACGCCTAGTTAATGTTGTAAACAGTTCTGACAATTGCAGCCGCAATAGTCTATCATTTATAGCCTTATATTTTTTTTGAGTATGGTTTAACCGCCATTAAGTTGCCACCTATTAAGCAGCCGCCATCTATTAAAGGGTCAGCGATCAAAGTCCCAAAATAATTGTAGAATTATCTTTACAAGTGCCCAGCGGACGAATTTTCGACCGGAAGTTCACGCGTTTTGGCGATCTGCTCACACGAAACCATCGTAACCGTACAAAGGAAGTGGAAGTTGTCAGAAACCTCTAAAGGTTTTTGTTTCAGAACAAAGAGAAGTTTCTGCTAAAGATTTTGGAAATTTTGGACAATCCTCTTATCAGCTGCCAACCTCCATCAAGGACAAGGAAGCGGACCGGATGTCTTAAGGGTATGGCCGCTTAATAAAGGTTTATCGTCAAACTGTGCTTGCATAACATATAGATTTAGCTCTAGCTCTTTCTCTATTGTCCACGATAGTGTAAACATAAAAAGACACGACTTTATTGTTGTTTTTTCTTTCTAAAACTCCGGGCGGCCATGTGATTTCCTTCCAAATAAAACCTTGAGTTGCATTTGGGTTGCCATACCTGGTGATTAAGTTATTTTACATTGGTATGCCTGTGGTGCGGATGGAGGGTCGCTCGCTCGGTGTACGGTGACGTGATTAACAAATTTTCTCGGATGGGTAGATTACCACAATTCCTTAGCTATGGGGCTCCGCGCGTGGAGCTCCGCTATTAGCTTACTGTGACTGAGTTTTTAACCCGGAGTTTTCCCTGTTTAATAAAGGAATACAGTACCAAGGTGAAAGCTAATGCTTACTCCCGTTTTAAGCGACACAACCATTAATTCATTCAGACTACAACTGTTATAATATGAGCGTTTATAATGAGTATAGTCTTATACAACTCGCAAACTTCATTTAAATAGTAACAAAACCCACACATTATTTAAAATAATTGCACCTTCGTTCTAGCTATTTTTGGTTCTAGCAAAAACAAATATAAATTATTAACAGCAAACTGCTTTTTAATTATCAAAAAAGGCGTCCCTTGACTGTGCTCTGTTCTGTTGTAACTGAAGCACGCAGAAAGCGGCCAGAGTAGTACTACGAAAGAAGTGTAGGGGTAAGCACGAGAAGTAGTCGAAAAGAGCTCAGTCAAGGCTTCGTTATATATTTTTTTCATGATAAAGAGTCCCTTAAATTCCCCACGCATTGCTTTCTAATTTACAGAATAAACTATTGGCAGATGAAATGACAGTTTTAGCTCCGTGTTTTTATACTCTCAAGGTCTCATAAAGCACTCTTTTTCAACCAATCAGAGAGCGCGTTATAGCTGGACTAAGTTCTAATTGTTTATTAATAAAAACAAATTTACAGCAACTGTAGAAGCACATGTGGTGTCAGTGAAACGGAATACTGGCAAGGTTACTGTGGCTTTCAATAACACTCTAAGATCAAAAGCCAGCTACCGTTTGCGTCTTCTGCTGTCGTCAATCAACTCAGTTAGCAAGAGAGATCAAGAAGTTTACTTCCATGAATTAAAATCGAAAAGGCCATTGTTTGTGATGAGTGATAAGTGATCCATTTTGTGAGTTTCTATGTTTCAAGGTTTGCTGCTTGTGATCGTAGTTATGATTGACGGTAGCGAAAACGTGATTCGGATAAGTTGGCTTTTAAACTTCATAGTTCGCGTCTTATGAATGGTTTTAAATTGCGCGCGCTAATGGGACCGAGCCTACGACAGACGCATCAAGTCATTTAAACTTTTCGATGTCTTAGGACCATATGATTAGAAAGATAACTACTTTTGCCTCAAACGTCACAGCACTTAAGCATTTATCCATGGGATGAGAAAATTTAATTTGAAACATCCTGTTTCCTTTTTCTCCGTTCCGGAACAAAAATGGTGGTCGCTTCTTATTTAGCCTTGTGTGCATTATTGTGCACTTATAAGTTTACCATACTGACTAAAGCAAAAAATACTGTTCCGCCCTGTGAGAGTACATGTGGTAACTATAGATGAACCTGCATGTGGGACCACCTCTCGTAAGCGACCACCTCCCATAAGCGACCATCTATCACTCATTCCCCGGTCCTCCACTTTCCAGGATGGCGGCTGAGTCAAATTTCCCATCCTGGGGACGTTCAGGATGTCAAATTCCCTACCCACAGCGCTTCACTGAGTCTAATTCCGTGGGTTGCCCCCACCCCCCTATCCTGGGGCAAACCATTGATAGGTGCATAATACATTAGAAATATTTTTTTCTTCAATATCTGAGCAAAACAGTCCGAATATCGGTCAAAAATATAAAGCAATTTTCTACGAATTTTTGTGACGCTGTCAGATTATGCAAACGAAGTAAGAGTAATTAGCATAATGAAAGAGAGGCTTGAGCGTAACCTCGTCACCCGATATTTACTTTCCAAAAACGCTTTATTTTTCAATTTCTACGAGAAATATGGAGTTAGAAACAAGCAAACATGAATTCACTGATAGAAGTCATCAAAATAAGCAAGGCTTTAAAGGCAACAAGCTTAAAGGGACGGAATTCACTACGTTTGAAGAGAATTTTTGTGCCAGCCATTGCCGACTCGGGGAATAGAAGGCAAAGATTCTTACTTTTTTCTTACCTCGATTTTCGCGTTTGTTTGCATGTTATGCTACAGAATCCTTCAAAATGATTTGCTTGACTTGTATTTGGTTTCAATTCGTCGATTCACGCTTTCATTCTTCGCAAAAGCCGTCCGACGGGCATTTTTCGTTACGTGAAGCTCAAAACACGATGGGGGCTGGAACTAGGCACATAATTGGCTAAATCTATTAACTTCGTGTGGGCCAAATTTGGAGGGAATCGGAAGTGACGTAATTTTTTGCGGGTGGAGGGTGAGGGGTAGCGGGTGACGCGTAAGTAGATAAAACAAAACAAGACAATACTTTTATTTGGAGTCTGGTAGCTAGTACATAAACGTTGAAATTATTTTAAAATTACAACATACAGTTATATCATTATCAATAATAATATTTTATTATAATATTTTATTTTCATATATATTTTTAACCCGCCACCCGTCACCCGCTACCCCTCACCCGCCACCCGCTACCCGTCACCCGCCACCCGCCACCCGCCACCCGCGGAAAAGTCCAGCCGTAAGATTGTTGCCGACGGGGACGCCATTTTGCTTCCAGAATATTTTGGCCATTTTGGTTTATTCCACAGCATGTTAAACATTTCATATCGTGGATTAGGAAGCGTTTTTTTCTTACATCTTGGGTATTGGGGGCGTCAAAACATGACGTAAGTTTTAAGCTTATATGGCAGCTTAATTCGTCATCTAGCTGATGTCGTAGTAAAAAATTTTCTTTTCCTCTAACTCTGTTGCTTGATTTGTTCAGCTTGTTATCTTATGTTTTGTGTGTAAAAATACGCGTTAAAATGAGTTTTAAGCATGCAAGAGATGCCTTGGTTCTATGTCATGACAACGGAGTGATAGGCGACGAGGAATTTTGCTTGCTATACGATGCAAATCGATCGAAAAATCCCGAATTTCCGTACGAAGAGTATGGAAAATTTGATCTTGAAGATATGGGGGACGATGAATGTAAAGCGGAATTTCGCTTCCATACAGAAGACATCCCGGTGCTGGCAGAAGTCCTTGGTTTACCCGAAACTTTCACCTGCAGCCAGGGATCCGTGACTAATGGCATTGAAGGGCTATGCATTATGCTGAAAAGATTTAGCTACCCCTGCAGGTACTCGGGTTTAATTCCCCGTTTTGGTCACGCTGTTCCTGTGATGAGCATGATCTGTAACACAGTAGTTGACTTCGTTTACAACCTCCATGGCCATAGAATAACTGAGTACAATCACAACCTTCTTGATTCGGCTAGCCTTCAAGTCTATGCAGATGCAGTTTTTGCAAAAGGTGCCGCCCTGGATAATTGTTTTGGTTTTGTGGATGGCACGGTCAGGCCCATTTGTCGCCCTGGGGAAATGCAAAGAGCTGTATACAATGGACACAAACGTGTACATGGACTAAAATTTCAGTCAGTTGCTCTACCAAATGGACTCATCGCAAATCTTTTTGGACCTGTAGGTTAGTGCATTATTCATTTCGGCTAATACCAAGGCAATGGGAAGGTATAAACATGAGGCATATGATTTCTTTAAATCCCTTGGCCACTTGTAGTGTTGGCTTTTTTTTTTCAGACTGAACTCAAATGATTCTATTCATGTGACCTCTGTCACGAATTGTCAGAGTTCACATGCATTGCAGTACGTTATGACATAGACACATTTGTTTTGTAACTTACCGTACCTGTGAACAGATGTATATAGGGAGACAACATAAAAATTATATGTTAATTTATTAGTAGGTATTTGTACATAAATGAGTTGAGCCTCAAATAAGCACACATATCTATCAAGGTCAAAAGGGTTTTGGTTTTACATAGTATTACTGTAACTGGTTTGAAGGAAGTATTAAATTTCAAGATTGTAAGCTCAACATCAACAATATTCCAAAACTCCACTATATCTCTTTTACAGAAGGGAGAAAACATGATGCATCAATGCTGGATGAGTCTGGTCTGTTGAATGAGCTCGAGAGGCATGCATTTTCACCAACTGGCCAGGCAATGTGTATTTATGGTGATCCAGCATATCCCCACCGTGTTCATCTGCAAAGACCATTTCAGTATGGAGGACTGACACATCAGATGCAAAGTTTCAATGAGTCCATGAGTAAAGTTCGTTCCATAGTCGAGTGGATTTTTGGGGACATGAGTAACTATTTTAAATTTTTAGATTTTAAGAAAGACTTGAAGCTGGATTTAAGCCCCATTGGGAAAATGTACATTGTCTGTGCCTTACTTAGGAATGCACTTACTTGCCTTTATGGTAACACAACCTCTGAGTTTTTCCAGTTAGACCCTCCATCTCTGGAAGATTACTTTGCTTAAGTGTCATTCATACTTGAGGGCATAGCTGAATGTTTTTGGTTTGTAGGCTTGTTTTAACAGAAAATCTCCACAAGGAATTATAGATTATACACATAAGAAATATTACAGGAAACCAAGGGTTCTTGACAAAACTTTTAATGACAGCTGTCGCCCTTAAGTCTGCATCAATTTCTTTCTTAGTATGATGAGCAGTGCTTCACAGATTTCCAAAATGCCTTTTGTGTCTAGGATTTTGACACCAAAAAATAATATCCATACTCTGTCCATGGAAGGGGGTACAATGTCACCCCCACCCCTCTGAATTTCCAAATGTAAGCAGTGATTCGTATGGAAAACAAGGTCTTTTTCCCCACCCCAATATTATGCTATATGCTAAAACTGAAGAACAAACCTATGAAAATGAAGTAATCATTTATTTACTACAATCCAAGATAAAAAGTATATACAGTGTAATATGCTATGCTGTTGTTTTTGTTAGAACAAGTGTAACACTTTTTTCAACATGTTTTCAAGTTTAGCAATTCTAAATGCTCTTTTGAAATACAATATTTGAGAAAATGGTTGACACTGAAAACATTTAAAACACACTGTAAGTATCAATAGAACAACAAGAGGGCAAGGTTCAATATCATTGTCATGCACTTGCACACTCATATGAAATCTGCTCAAGCAGTTCTTGTTCACTTCTCCAAAAATTTAGAAAACATGGTTATCATCATGGTCTGAATCCATCAGTTTGCTTCTGTTGCTGTGCCAGCTGCTGGCTCATCAACTTCATCATAGCTTCATTCTTCTTGGCTTCTTGCTGCAACTCCTGCTTTTTCAGCTCCAGCTCCTCTTTTTAAATTCATCCAACATTTCATTTCTCTCCTTTAGATACTCCAGGGTGTTGTTTCCACTTGATCTTCTTTTCTTCCCTTTCCTTCAATCTCACTTCTTTTCATTCTGTCTCCCAGCCTCTCCATTGCCCTCTTTCTCACTTCCTCAGCATCTTTCTTATCTTCCTTTACCTTCCTCTTTTGTGCTGCTGTCTCCTGTTGGTCTCGATCAGCCTCATCTTCTCTCACAATGAGGTCTTCCAGGGCTTGCTCTACCTCTGTCAATTCTGGGGTGCTAATCCCACTTGCTCTTTCCTCCCTCTAATTTTCCTCCTGTATGCTTTGGCAAGTAGACCATACCTTTCTCTAACACCTCTCTGGTCAACCTTAAATTTGGGGGCTTCTGCTTGCAAAAGGCGCTCAGAGATTTCGTTCCACTTCCGACCTCTTTGAACTGTCCCACGTTTTGTGCCAGCAAAGGGGCTGTTCGCTAGCATTTCTCTGACTAAAATGACATCATGTTCCTCTGTCCAGAACATCCTGTCATAAGAAATGTGGCATAGTAAATAAACTATCAATGACAGTAGTTAAAGAAACAACACACAATCTACAAAAACTCTATCATATTAATAGAGGAAAACAAAGAAACGCCTTACGATGAAAGGTAAACCCCACTGGTAGTAAGAAACAAATATAATGCTAAGAAATAAATATAATGTGTGAACTGTGTAGGAAGTTAAAAACACATGCATGATGTGTAATTTTAGCATATTCAAGTGTGAGGAACAGTAAGGGAAGAGACAAAGAGCTATTGAGCTACGAAAAAATGCCGAAGAGGCTGGTTGTATACAAGAAAATATTTAATACAAAAATATTGGCACTAGTAAGTGCAGTTGTTCAATAGAAAACCGACAAGAAAAATTTCGGTCCCGAAATGTTTTCCGGAGTTTTGATAAACGCACGCCACTGGAGAGGAAAACGAAAGGTTTGACTAATGCCGGGTTGAGACAGCTATTCAGCAATTCAAGTCAAAACTCCACAGAAACAAAACAGAAGTAGTCTTATTTCTATAAAGGGAGGAAAAAAACACTCTTGGGAAGTTTGTCGCTTGGAGTTGTTTTTCTCTTTCACGCGGAATACACGAAAAATATAAACTTCGTACGACAGTCGCAAGTAGAAACTCAATAAAAAGAATGACTCTGAAAGTGGTATTTATATAAGCATTAAACAATGGGTGGATATTAAATGGAATGGCCCACTACTCCGCGGTAGAGTGGTTACGCTACAAATTATGGTTTCTACGCCCCTGGATCGGTTCTCAATCTTAATTGCCACATCGAATTTTTTCTTCTTTTCAAAATTTGCCACTGAAATTCTTCCTTAAAAATGGAACAGTGGTTGAAGAGACTTACACTTTCATGGAAATTTGTTGATCAGAAATTTCAAGAGACTTAGAAATTTCATATAAATTTCAAGTAGAGACTTGATCCTGTATGTCATAGCAGATACACGTCGGTGTAAGGGTCCTGTACGAATAGGGGCACTGTGTCAATGTAATGAAGACACTGCATGTTGTTAATAACAGTGATCTTCTCATATTTTAAATGCAACTCTGATTTTAAAAGATAAATGGCAGACAGCCCTACTAAAAAATAATTTTCTATATTTATTTTAACAGGATCATTTTTTTATTAAGCACACAAAACATTCCTCTTTATAGTTAGCAATAAAATTTCTTACACTCGGACTTTCAGCGTTGGTGAACATTTTGCATACTTTTGCATTATCTGTGTAATTTAAACGTACTATCTATTTTGCTTTTAGAAAGCTTTCAAATGTTTCCTATTTTTCTATCCAATAAAAAGTGCAGACTTGAACATGTGGCTAACAAGTTGATGAGTTGCTTGATTACTGAATTTCTATGGGCACGCTATGGCATTCCATGGAACTCCATGGGCACGCTAGGCATTCCATGGAACTGCATCGGTACTTCAGGGAACCCCATGGCATTCCATGGAACTCCACGATATTCCATGGAATTTCATGGCATTCCATGGAACTCCATCACTACTTCATGGAACTCCGTGGAACTCCTTGGCATTCCATGGAACTCCATGGATACTCCACGAAACTCCATGGCATTCCATGGAACTCCATGGATACTCCATGGAAGTTCCTTGGAATTCCATGGATTTCCATCTATTTCCATGGAATTCCATGGATTTCCATAGATTTCCATGGATTTCCACGGATTTCCATGGATTTCCATGGAATTCCATGGAAGTATTTCACACGGGTCCCCACATAGGATTTCTTTGTTATTCAAACATAGACCAGATTTTGTTATATGGAAGATGGTTGGAAAGTAAGGATGAATATATGTAGCGCTTTATGAAGTTTTGTTAACTTTTGCTGTTTAAGCCAATCAGAAGTAAGTACAGACAATAGAAAAGTTAGCACCTTTTTTGCATTCCAACATGTTCGTTGCCGTTGTTGCCATCTGGACCGTTTCTTAAACTACTTGCAAGAAAAAGTATGAAATTACATGTATTGAAAGTATGATAAGTGTATTGGGTTAAATACAGAAATCTTACTGAGGCAGTTCACAGAAGAGTGAAAAAAAATTACTTACTTGTTTACATACTCAGTTTTGAGGTTTGAGAATATCACCAGACGCTGCAAAACATGTATTTAGGTTGCGTGACTAATTTTTATTTCCGGAATTAAGAGGGGAAGTTCATATGCGCACGGACTTTTTGTGACTGGAAAATCATGAACCCTTTATATAATGCTGCTGCCAAACATTTCAACCTAACGAGTATTTTTAGTTTCAATATCAATTTTTACATTTTATACCCTCAGCTATATTCTACGGCAATAAACCACATAAACCATCTTCAAGAAGATCTAGCCTCTGAATAAATTTCAAAACTGTCAAAGATGAAACACAACGTTGTTTTTAGTTTTAGTTTGTCTGAACGTTCATCTTCTGACCTCCTTTGGAGAACGGAAACGCACCAAACTTTCATCGTGATCAATGTCCACTCCACAGGTTCATGAGAGGGAGCCCAGAAGTTGATACACAACAAAATAGTTCCATGCAACGGCAGAACATACTGTTTGGAAAAAGTCTACAAGTAGGAAATTTCATGCGTCACGGAAAATTCGGTGAAAAAAAGTAGAACTGAAGAATTTTACACAATAACAACGTACCCAACCCCAACATTCTTGAAAATTATGACGAACTAAGCCCTTCAGAAGGGGAAATTGTATATTTGTTTCGTTTTAATGGAAAAAAAGGCCCAGTTTTACGAGGCGTTCCTGTAAAGAACGGTACGTGTAAAGTGTATTAGATTGTCCAGTTGGGGAATATATTAAGACGTCACCCGCGAGTGTCACGCGACCCGCTCGCTGACGCGTTAATTTCAAGGTGCGGTCAAAGACAGTAGGACAGTGTTGGTTAGATGTAATTCTTTTTAAAGAAGAATGATAGCTTTTTAATTTCTGCTAGTCGCCGCACCCTGCGATAAAATAAAGTACTAATTCCAGCTAAATTCCGCTTGAAAAGCGCAACTTTAGTACGGGATTAGTTAATAACACGTACGGTCCCCATTAGGGACCTTACAAAACCACGATGACTACGGCAACGGGAACGTCAAAAAACAACAGGTTTCATGAGCAAAACAACTCTGCACGCCCCTCTGCCCCGCGAAGGGGTACTTTAGGGCTTTTTGGGTGGGGATTTGCCGCTGGGACCCTGGAGCCCTATACTATGCTACCCTATACTAGACTAAACTCGCCAAATCCCCCCTATCCTATAGTAGCTGTTTTCCAGAAACAACTGAGGTCACTAGAAAAGTCCAGCCAAAACAAAACTGATTTGATTTTTTTTTTTATATTCTTGAGTGGCAATTCCCAGTTTCCCTAGTCTAGACTAAAATCTTCAGCCTTGATCAGTTTAAATGGAAAAAGATGGCCTCTTCTAGACCCAAACTCTCTCATTTATATACCCTATCCCAGAGTAAACTGCTTGAGAACCATACCCTTCACAGCGGCACATGTCTATATAGCCCATGTATGGCAGTATCTCAAATATGTCAAATTCCCTACCCACAGCGCTTCACTGAGTCTAATTCCGTGGGTTGCCCCCCCCCCCTATCCTGGGGCAAACCATTGATAGGTGCATAATACATTAGAAATATTTTTTTTTCTTCAATATCTGAGCAAAACAGTCCGAATATCGGTCAAAAATATAAAGCAATTTTCTACAAATTTTTGTGACGCTGTCAGATTATGCAAACGAAGTAAGAGTAATTAGCATAATGAAAGAGAGGCTTGAGCGTAACCTCGTCACCCGATATTTACTTTCCAAAAACGCTTTATTTTTCAATTTCTACGAGAAATATGGAGTTAGAAACAAGCAAACATGAATTCACTGATAGAAGTCATCAAAATAAGCAAGGCTTTAAAGGCAACAAGCTTAAAGGGACGGAATTCACTACGTTTGAAGAGAATTTTTGTGCCAGCCATTGCCGACTCGGGGAATAGAAGGCAAAGATTCTTACTTTTTTCTTACCTCGATTTTCGCGTTTGTTTGCATGTTATGCTACAGAATCCTTCAAAAAATGATTTGCTTGACTTGTATTTGGTTTCAATTCGTCGATTCAAGCTTTCATTCTTCGCAAAAGCCGTCCGACGGGCATTTTTCGTTACGTGAAGCTCAAAACACGATGGGGGCTGGAACTAGGCACATAATTGGCTAAATCTATTAACTTCGTGTGGGCCAAATTTGGAGGGAATCGGAAGTGACGTAATTTTTTGCGGGTGGAGGGTGAGGGGTAGCGGGTGACGCGTAAGTAGATAAAACAAAACAAGACAATACTTTTATTTGGAGTCTGGTAGCTAGTACATAAACGTTGAAATTATTTTAAAATTACAACATACAGTTATATCATTATCAATAATAATATTTTATTATAATATTTTATTTTTATATATATTTTTAACCCGCCACCCGCCACCCGCCACCCGCCACCCGTCACCCGCTACCCCTCACCCGCCACCCGCTACCCGTCACCCGCCACCCGCCACCCGCCACCCGCGGAAAAGTCCAGCCGTAAGATTGTTGCCGACGGGGACGCCATTTTGCTTCCAGAATATTTTGGCCATTTTGGTTTATTCCACAGCATGTTAAACATTTCATATCGTGGATTAGGAAGCGTTTTTTTCTTACATCTTGGGTATTGGGGGCGTCAAAACATGACGTAAGTTTTAAGCTTATATGGCAGCTTAATTCGTCATCTAGCTGATGTCGTAGTAAAAAAATTTTCTTTTCCTCTAACTCTGTTGCTTGATTTGTTCAGCTTGTTATCTTATGTTTTGTGTGTAAAAATACGCGTTAAAATGAGTTTTAAGCATGCAAGAGATGCCTTGGTTCTATGTCATGACAACGGAGTGATAGGCGACGAGGAATTTTGCTTGCTATACGATGCAAATCGATCGAAAAATCCCGAATTTCCGTACGAAGAGTATGGAAAATTTGATCTTGAAGATATGGGGGACGATGAATGTAAAGCGGAATTTCGCTTCCATACAGAAGACATCCCGGTGCTGGCAGAAGTCCTTGGTTTACCCGAAACTTTCACCTGCAGCCAGGGATCCGTGACTAATGGCATTGAAGGGCTATGCATTATGCTGAAAAGATTTAGCTACCCCTGCAGGTACTCGGGTTTAATTCCCGTTTTGGTCACGCTGTTCCTGTGATGAGCATGATCTGTAACACAGTAGTTGACTTCGTTTACAACCTCCATGGCCATAGAATAACTGAGTACAATCACAACCTTCTTGATTCGGCTAGCCTTCAAGTCTATGCAGATGCAGTTTTTGCAAAAGGTGCCGCCCTGGATAATTGTTTTGGTTTTGTGGATGGCACGGTCAGGCCCATTTGTCGCCCTGGGGAAATGCAAAGAGCTGTATACAATGGACACAAACGTGTACATGGACTAAAATTTCAGTCAGTTGCTCTACCAAATGGACTCATCGCAAATCTTTTTGGACCTGTAGGTTAGTGCATTATTCATTTCGGCTAATACCAAGGCAATGGGAAGGTATAAACATGAGGCATATGATTTCTTTAAATCCCTTGGCCACTTGTAGTGTTGGCTTTTTTCTTCAGACTGAACTCAAATGATTCTATTCATGTGACCTCTGTCACGAATTGTCAGAGTTCACATGCATTGCAGTACGTTATGACATAGACACATTTGTTTTGTAACTTACCGTACCTGTGAACAGATGTATATAGGGAGACAACATAAAAATTATATGTTAATTTATTAGTAGGTATTTGTACATAAATGAGTTGAGCCTCAAATAAGCACACATATCTATCAAGGTCAAAAGGGTTTTGGTTTTACATAGTATTACTGTAACTGGTTTGAAGGAAGTATTAAATTTCAAGATTGTAAGCTCAACATCAACAATATTCCAAAACTCCACTATATCTCTTTTACAGAAGGGAGAAAACATGATGCATCAATGCTGGATGAGTCTGGTCTGTTGAATGAGCTCGAGAGGCATGCATTTTCACCAACTGGCCAGGCAATGTGTATTTATGGTGATCCAGCATATCCCCACCGTGTTCATCTGCAAAGACCATTTCAGTATGGAGGACTGACACATCAGATGCAAAGTTTCAATGAGTCCATGAGTAAAGTTCGTTCCATAGTCGAGTGGATTTTTGGGGACATGAGTAACTATTTTAAATTTTTAGATTTTAAGAAAGACTTGAAGCTGGATTTAAGCCCCATTGGGAAAATGTACATTGTCTGTGCCTTACTTAGGAATGCACTTACTTGCCTTTATGGTAACACAACCTCTGAGTTTTTCCAGTTAGACCCTCCATCTCTGGAAGATTACTTTGCTTAAGTGTCATTCATACTTGAGGGCATAGCTGAATGTTTTTGGTTTGTAGGCTTGTTTTAACAGAAAATCTCCACAAGGAATTATAGATTATACACATAAGAAATATTACAGGAAACCAAGGGTTCTTGACAAAACTTTTAATGACAGCTGTCGCCCTTAAGTCTGCATCAATTTCTTTCTTAGTATGATGAGCAGTGCTTCACAGATTTCCAAAATGCCTTTTGTGTCTAGGATTTTGACACCAAAAAAATAATATCCATACTCTGTCCATGGAAGGGGGTACAATGTCACCCCCACCCTCTGGAATTTCAAATGTAAGCAGTGATTCGTATGGAAAACAAGGTCTTTTTCCCCCACCCCCATATTATGCTATATGCTAAAACTGAAGAACAAACCTATGAAAATGAAGTAATCATTTATTTACTACAATCCAAGATAAAAAGTATATACAGTGTAATATGCTATGCTGTTGTTTTTGTTAGAACAAGTGTAACACTTTTTTTCAACATGTTTTCAAGTTTAGCAATTCTAAATGCTCTTTTTGAAATACAATATTTGAGAAAATGGTTGACACTGAAAACATTTAAAACACACTGTAAGTATCAATAGAACAACAAGAAGGCAAGGTTCAATATCATTGTCATGCACTTGCACACTCATATGAAATCTGCTCAAGCAGTTCTTGTTCACTTCTCCAAAAATTTAGAAAACATGGTTATCATCATGGTCTGAATCCATCAGTTTGCTTCTGTTGCTGTGCCAGCTGCTGGCTCATCAACTTCATCATAGCTTCATTCTTCTTGGCTTCTTGCTGCAACTCCTGCTTTTTCAGCTCCAGCTCCTTTTTAAATTCATCCAACATTTCATTTCTCTCCTTTAGATACTCCAGGGTGTTGTTTCCACTTGATCTTCTTTTCTTCCCCTTTCCTTCAATCTCACTTCTTTTCATTCTGTCTCCCAGCCTCTCCATTGCCCTCTTTCTCACTTCCTCAGCATCTTTCTTATCTTCCTTTACCTTCCTCTTTTGTGCTGCTGTCTCCTGTTGGTCTCGATCAGCCTCATCTTCTCTCACAATGAGGTCTTCCAGGGCTTGCTCTACCTCTGTCAATTCTGGGGTGCTAATCCCACTTGCTCTTTCCTCCCCTCTAATTTTCCTCCTGTATGCTTTGGCAAGTAGACCATACCTTTCTCTAACACCTCTCTGGTCAACCTTAAATTTGGGGGCTTCTGCTTGCAAAAGGCGCTCAGAGATTTCGTTCCACTTCCGACCTCTTTGAACTGTCCCACGTTTTGTGCCAGCAAAGGGGCTGTTCGCTAGCATTTCTCTGACTAAAATGACATCATGTTCCTCTGTCCAGAACATCCTGTCATAAGAAATGTGGCATAGTAAATAAACTATCAATGACAGTAGTTAAAGAAACAACACACAATCTACAAAAACTCTATCATATTAATAGAGGAAAACAAAGAAACGCCTTACGATGAAAGGTAAACCCCACTGGTAGTAAGAAACAAATATAATGCTAAGAAATAAATATAATGTGTGAACTGTGTAGGAAGTTAAAAAACACATGCATGATGTGTAATTTTAGCATATTCAAGTGTGAGGAACAGTAAGGGAAGAGACAAAGAGCTATTGAGCTACGAAAAAATGCCGAAGAGGCTGGTTGTATACAAGAAAATATTTAATACAAAAATATTGGCACTAGTAAGTGCAGTTGTTCAATAGAAAACCGACAAGAAAAATTTCGGTCCCGAAATGTTTTCCGGAGTTTTGATAAACGCACGCCACTGGAGAGGAAAACGAAAGGTTTGACTAATGCCGGGTTGAGACAGCTATTCAGCAATTCAAGTCAAAACTCCACAGAAACAAAACAGAAGTAGTCTTATTTCTATAAAGGGAGGAAAAACACTCTTGGGAAGTTTGTCGCTTGGAGTTGTTTTTCTCTTTCACGCGGAATACACGAAAAATATAAACTTCGTACGACAGTCGCAAGTAGAAACTCAATAAAAAAGAATGACTCTGAAAGTGGTATTCATATAAGCATTAAACAATGGGTGGATATTAAATGGAATGGCCCACTACTCCGCGGTAGAGTGGTTACGCTACAAATTATGGTTTCTACGCCCCTGGATCGGTTCTCAATCTTAATTGCCACATCGAATTTTTCTTCTTTTCAAAATTTGCCACTGAAATTCTTCCTTAAAAATGGAACAGTGGTTGAAGAGACTTACACTTTCATGGAAATTTGTTGATCAGAAATTTCAAGAGACTTAGAAATTTCATATAAATTTCAAGTAGAGACTTGATCCTGTATGTCATAGCAGATACACGTCGGTGTAAGGGTCCTGTATGAATAGGGGCACTGTGTCAATGTAATGAAGACACTGCATGTTGTTAATAACAGTGATCTTCTCATATTTTAAATGCAACTCTGATTTTAAAAGATAAATGGCAGACAGCCCTACTAAAAAAATAATTTTCTATATTTATTTTTTTTTTTAACAGGATCATTTTTTTTATTAAGCACACAAAACATTCCTCTTTATAGTTAGCAATAAAATTTCTTACACTCGGACTTTCAGCGTTGGTGAACATTTTGCATACTTTTGCATTATCTGTGTAATTTAAACGTACTATCTATTTTGCTTTTAGAAAGCTTTCAAATGTTTCCTATTTTTCTATCCAATAAAAAGTGCAGACTTGAACATGTGGCTAACAAGTTGATGAGTTGCTTGATTACTGAATTTCTATGGGCACGCTATGGCATTCCATGGAACTCCATGGGCACGCTAGGCATTCCATGGAACTGCATCGGTACTTCAGGGAACCCCATGGCATTCCATGGAACTCCACGATATTCCATGGAATTTCATGGCATTCCATGGAACTCCATCACTACTTCATGGAACTCCGTGGAACTCCTTGGCATTCCATGGAACTCCATGGATACTCCACGAAACTCCATGGCATTCCATGGAACTCCATGGATACTCCATGGAAGTTCCTTGGAATTCCATGGATTTCCATCTATTTCCATGGAATTCCATGGATTTCCATAGATTTCCATGGATTTCCACGGTTTCCATGGTTTCCATGGAATTCCATGGGAGTATTTCACACGGGTCCCCACATAGGATTTCTTTGTTATTCAAACATAGACCAGATTTTGTTATATGGAAGATGGTTGGAAAGTAAGGATGAATATATGTAGCGCTTTATGAAGTTTTGTTAACTTTTGCTGTTTAAGCCAATCAGAAGTAAGTACAGACAATAGAAAAGTTAGCACCTTTTTTTGCATTCCAACATGTTCGTTGCCGTTGTTGCCATCTGGACCGTTTCTTAAACTACTTGCAAGAAAAAGTATGAAATTACATGTATTGAAAGTATGATAAGTGTATTGGGTTAAATACAGAAATCTTACTGAGGCAGTTCACAGAAGAGTGAAAAAAATTACTTACTTGTTTACATACTCAGTTTTGAGGTTTGAGAATATCACCAGACGCTGCAAAACATGTATTTAGGTTGCGTGACTAATTTTTATTTCCGGAATTAAGAGGGAAGTTCATATGCGCACGGACTTTTTGTGACTGGAAAATCATGAACCCTTTATATAATGCTGCTGCCAAACATTTCAACCTAACGAGTATTTTTAGTTTCAATATCAATTTTTACATTTTATACCCTCAGCTATATTCTACGGCAATAAACCACATAAACCATCTTCAAGAAGATCTAGCCTCTGAATAAATTTCAAAACTGTCAAAGATGAAACACAACGTTGTTTTTAGTTTTAGTTTGTCTGAACGTTCATCTTCTGACCTCCTTTGGAGAACGGAAACGCACCAAACTTTCATCGTGATCAATGTCCACTCCACAGGTTCATGAGAGGGAGCCCAGAAGTTGATACACAACAAAATAGTTCCATGCAACGGCAGAACATACTGTTTGGAAAAAGTCTACAAGTAGGAAATTTCATGCGTCACGGAAAATTCGGTGAAAAAAAGTAGAACTGAAGAATTTTACACAATAACAACGTAGCCAACCCCAACATTCTTGAAAATTATGACGAACTAAGCCCTTCAGAAGGGGAAATTGTATATTTGTTTCGTTTTAATGGAAAAAAGGCCCAGTTTTACGAGGCGTTCCTGTAAAGAACGGTACGTGTAAAGTGTATTAGATTGTCCAGTTGGGGAATATATTAAGACGTCACCCGCGAGTGTCACGCGACCCGCTCGCTGACGCGTTAATTTCAAGGTGCGGTCAAAGACAGTAGGACAGTGTTGGTTAGATGTAATTCTTTTTAAAGAAGAATGATAGCTTTTTAATTTCTGCTAGTCGCCGCACCCTGCGATAAAATAAAGTACTAATTCCAGCTAAATTCCGCTTGAAAAGCGCAACTTTAGTACGGGATTAGTTAATAACACGTACGGTCCCCATTAGGGACCTTACAAAACCACGATGACTACGGCAACGGGAACGTCAAAAAAACAACAGGTTTCATGAGCAAAACAACTCTGCACGCCCCTCTGCCCCGCGAAGGGGTACTTTAGGCTTTTTGGGTGGGGATTTGCCGCTGGGACCCTGGAGCCCCTATACTATGCTACCCTATACTAGACTAAACTCGCCAAATCCCCCCTATCCTATAGTAGCTGTTTTCCAGAAACAACTGAGGTCACTAGAAAAGTCCAGCCAAAACAAAACTGATTTGATTTTTTTATATTCTTGAGTGGCAATTCCCAGTTTCCCTAGTCTAGACTAAAATCTTCAGCCTTGATCAGTTTAAATGGAAAAAGATGGCCTCTTCTAGACCCAAACTCTCTCATTTATATACCCTATCCCAGAGTAAACTGCTTGAGAACCATACCCTTCACAGCGGCACATGTCTATATAGCCCATGTATGGCAGTATCTCTCCCCCACCCCCCACCCTCCCCGATCACGCTTTTTTGTACATTTCTTTGCAGTCACTGAATAACTACGACGTGAAATGACCAAATTTTAACTTTACTTCGGAACGGGAACGGCAAGGCGATAAATTCTACCATCTCTGTCTGAACTCGGGCGCGTTCCCCTCTCTTCAGCTCCAGCCAAAATCCTCTTCCTTTAAATAACAGGGTGAACTGGGATAATCGCGAAAAAGTTCAAAAAGGATGCGAAGTCGATGTTTCAGTGACGTTTTCATGGACGTCGCCGTTGTCGGATTGTAAGGTCCCTATTTATACGCAAACGTCTAAATGTAGTCAGTGAAAAATCCAAGGAGAGATTCCGGGGGGTGAGGACCCCTAAATGCCCTCCTTAGACTGGAAACTTTTATAGAATTTTTAAACTGGCTGATTGCGCTAAGAACTGAAGAATCAAGACTTTTTGATTGACCATCAAAAGCGAAAAAATCGAGAAGAATTTTCGAACCTATTCTTAACATGTTGTAAAGCAAATCAGCTAATAGAAGACGAACTGAGAAGCTGCTTTTTCTTTAAAAATAAACGAAACTTCAAGATCAATAAATTATAATTTTGTTCATCGCTAGAAAGACAAATCGCCATAAGATGTTCAAAGGTTACAATATGCATTTCAAGTGTTGAGACTTAGTCCGGTCCCCCCATGTAGGCCGCACCTCCGGGATCGGAAAGCTGAATTGTTAAGGAACAAGACCCCCGTAATGGGGATTCATTGGTCTGCCAACATCTCGTTCTTAAGCTAGGGCTCAGAGATTAGCCGCCCACGCAGGCGTTTATAGGGGAGCTCGTTTTTCATCCTTCCCCAGGAAGGGATGAAAAACGAGCTTCCCTCAAAACGGCCCCTACCGTAATGAAGAAAAATAGATGAGTTAGCCTTTTGAAACAAGAAACAAAAATATAGCGTGACAGTAGAACGTGACTTATTTAATCTAACCGGAAATTCCAAAACTTATTGTCGTTCTACTCTTGAAACGTAACGGGGCCAACTTTTGATGTTTCAAATACTGTTATATAGTACATTGTAATTTTGTTTTTTTGTTTTTTAATCTCTCAAGGTAAATCAACTTTCAGTTTTATTTCTGTCTGGATACTGCATTTAAAGCCCATCTAACTATTCAAGTGAATTTTGACGGGGCGATTTGCAAATAGCATATTAACAAGAGATCATAATAGGACAGTGTCCTATTATGGCTCTTGATATTGATTATTCCTTTCTTACAAGGAAAGACTTTTCACAAGCAGGGAGAAAATTGCAACAAGTTACAGCTTTTCCCGTGGGAACCGTGGGAGGGCATTGTTTCTGCAGCTCCCGCGCAGGCTAATTACCCCATCGAATACTGTATTTAGATAATAATTCGGCGCAGATATAGGGCCAATAACTCCACAAAATAATTTTGTGTTC